TGACTCCAGTTGGAGACCCTGGAGTCTGATTAAAACTAGTACTCGTGACCCCACTTGAAGAGTTGCTCCTGATCATCTGTGGTTGATGTTGGTGCTGATGTTTGAGACTTGCTCTAGGAGACAGTTTGCAATCTTCAGAAGACACTTTTGGGTCCGTTGTCTTGGTTCTGAGACTCTGTGGTGTCAGTAGACGAAGGGTCGTTGGATGAGAGTCCACTTTGGCGAAGAGATTCGAGATAGGCTCCTATGCGGGCGCCTTTTGGGAGCGTGCCGTAACGGTTGATGGCTCGTTTTACGTTTTGGACCTCTAGAGCCGCAATCTGAACCACCTAGGAGAAGAAAAATTAGTATTTTTTATAAAAGTTATTACGTAGGAAAGGAAAAATTTAGGTTTTTTAAAAAAGTTATTACCTAGTAAAGGAAAAATTAGGTTTTTTTATAAATGTTATTGCTAAATTTATCCCCCCACTTACCTTTCCATGGTCCATGGTGTCTTTACTGGAATAAGATCCTTTCTTCGTACTTGCAGCATTTCGATTGTGCTGAGAACTTGTTCCATGGTTTGATCTCTTAAACGAGACATTAGAATTTCCTAAACCAGAATGCTGGTGCGGAGGTGGATATGAATGAGCTCCTGAGTCATCTGTATCAGGTGTCTGCTCTTGGAAATCACCTGGAAGAAATGACATATATATTAGATCAATATTAATAACTGTTTGTTTTAAAATTCAATTGAAGACAACAAGAATTTTATTATCAAACCATTATATTCCTGTAAAGTTTCCTCCTGCTGCGTCTGCTGGTTTCCTGCAACAGCATGTGCGTTATTGCTGCTTTCATTTGTGGTCATATCTGTTGCATAAGTTGAGTCCCGGAAGGAACTACACGAAGATAAAAGACTAAAAAAGAACAAAAACTTTTTATTTTGGAAACTAATTTAATAAATGTTTACTGGTTTTCAAGTTGAAGGTACCATTTATTTTAGGAACTAATTTATTAAATATTTACTAATTTTCAAGTTAAAGGTACCTTGTGCGTTTCGGCGGTGCAGGTGCCTGCTTTCCTTTCTTATTCGTAGGCCTTCGTAGCTGGACAATACCACCTGGTTTACTACCAGTGAACGTCGAGAGTTTGGTCATATTACCCATTTCTACAAAATGGTGAATTATAATATAAGAAATCGTATCAGAAAGAGGTAAGAAAAATATGGAACATTAAGTAGCAAAAAGATGATCAAATGTGGTGTACCTCAAGGAACTGCCAATATTCTATTTATTATATATAAACATTTTTTCTAAAAAACTAAACTGAGGAGTCGCAATGTATTGGAGACAAAATTAAGGACTTTTTGAAAAATTATATAACATGGTTAATAAAAAAACAAATTAATAATTAGGTGTAACTAGCATCTCGCCCTAAGTCAAGTTGCATGATCCAGTGCAGAAATACAACTTAATCAATTATTACTTATATAAACAATTTACTACAAAATTAAACATGCGCAGATGACATCGTGATAATATAACAAAAACAAAATTGAGAAGGTGAAAAAAATGATCAAATGTGGGGTACCTCACGGAACTGTTTCAGGACCAACATTAAATTTATTACTTATATGTATAAACAATTTTCTAAAAAATTAAACGTGTGCAGATGACACCGTGAGTAGTATAAGAAAAACAAAATTAAGGGGGTGGAAAAAATGATCAAATATGGGGTACCTCAAGGTACTGTTTCAGGGTCAACATTAAATTTATTACTTATATAAACAATTTTCTAAAAAATTAAACGTGTGCAGATGACACCGTGATAGTATAAAGAAGACAAAATTAAGGAGGTGTAAAAAAATGATCAAATGTGGGATACCTCAAGGAACTGTTTTGGGGCAATATTCTATTTATTATATATAAACAATTTACTAAAAAACTAAACTGAGGAGTGGCAATGTATTGAAGACAAAATTAAGGAGTTTTTGAAAAATTATATAACATGGTTAATAAAAAAAACAGATTAATAACTAGGTGTAACTGGCATCTTGCCCTACGTCAAGTTGCATGATCAAGTGCAGAAATACAACTTAATCAATTATTACTCATATAAACAATTTACTAATAAATTAAACGTGCGCAGATAACATCGTGATAATATAACGAAAGCAAAATTAAGGAGGTAAAAAAAAATATCAAATGTGGGGTACTTTAAGGAACTGTTTCAGGGCCAACATTAAATTTGTTACTTATATGAACAATTTACTAATAAATTAAACGTGCGCAGATAACATCGTGATAATATAACGAAAGCAAAATTAAGGAGGTAAAAAAAATGATCAAATGCGGGGTTCTTCAAGGAACTGTTTCAGGGCCAAAATTAAATTTATTACATATATAAACAATTTACTAAAAAATTAAACATGCGATGACACCGTGATATTATAACGAAGGCAAAATTAAAAAGGAGAAAAAAAATCAAATGCGGGGTACCTCAAGGAACTGTTTAAGGGCCAACATTAAATTTATTACTTATATAAACAATTTAATAAAAAATTGAATGTGCGCAGGTGACATCGTGATAATATAATGAAAGCAAAATTAAAGAGGTGAGAAAATGATCAAATGTGGGGTACCTCAAGGTACTGTTTCAGGGCCAACATTAAATTTATTACTTATATAAACAATTTACTAAAAAATTAAACATGCACAGATGACACCGTGATAATATAGCAAAAATAAAATTACAGAGGAAAAATAAATTATCAAATGTGGGGTTCTTCAAGGAACTGTTTCAGAGCCAACATTAAATTTATTACTTATATAAACAATTTTCTAAAAAATTAAACATGCAATGACACCGTGATAATATACCGAAGGAAAAATTAAAGAGGTATAAAAATTATCAAATGTGGGGTTCTTCAAGGAACTGTTTCAGGGCCAACATAAAATTTATTACTTATATGAACAATTTACTAAAAAACTAAACTAAAGAGGGACTATGTATTGAAGACAAAACTAAGGAGTTTAAAAAAAAATCATATAACATAGTTAAAAAAAAATTAATAACTAGATATAACCGGCAAGCCGTCCTGTGTCAAGTTGCACAATCAATTGCAGATCAATAAAAATTGAGAATTAACACAATTTCAAAAATAAAAGCAGTCATTATTAAATTTATTCTTATTAATAATTTATTATTACCTTGTTCATTGACCAAGCCATGAATATTACCAACGCTGCCTGCCAAAGACCTCTTTGACTCCCGGTTTAAATTTCCTCGTTCAACAGAAAGATTTGTGCCTTGAGGTTGAGTCGAACTGACATTATTCATTGCTGTACCTGAAAAATAATTGATAATTAACTAATTCAAGTGCATATGCAGGTGATATTATTTATAATTATTGTTTTTTTTTCTAATTACCCTGTAATTGTTTTTCAACTTCCTCAGTGACACTCGATTCCTGGAACATATGCTCAAGAGCATGATGGATGCCTTCAAAACTAGGTCTGTCGTGCGTGTTCCATTGCCAACAAGCTCGCATTAGTTCGTAGATCTTTGGAGGACATCCTGGGGGACATTCCATTCGGTAGCCCTAGAATAAAAATAGATAACAAACAGTAAAATTAACATAATTATATAAAGATAAATTAACATTCATCCTTACCTTTTCCAACATATGATAAACATCCGTCAAGTCGACCCCTGGATACGGCGACATTCCGTAAGTAGCAATTTCCCACAGGAGCACCCCGAAGGCCCACACATCACTTTTCGTAGAAAATTTATTATAAGCTAAGCCTTCGGGTGCTGTCCACTTTATGGGGAACTTGGCACCAGCATGTGCTGTGTATGTATCGTCTCTCATGAGACGAGCTAAACCAAAATCTGCTACTTTTACTAAATGGTTTTCGCCTACTAGACAATTGCGGGCCGCCAAATCCCTGAAAAAAGTAAATGATATGATACATAATTATCTTATATATATAAATGGAGCTTCATATTATGTTTGGTATACTAAAACTCGAAAACCGCTGAACCGATTTGGCCAGCTTTAGTCTTGAAATATTCATACTAATCCAGAGGTTGTGGGAAAGTTGAGAAATTATTTCAAAACCGCGTAGAAACTTTACATTTTTAATTGAATTCTTATACATAGAAATGGAAACCGATATTATGTTAGGCATGCTAAGGCTCTAAAACAGCTTTATGGATTTGTCAGTCTTAGTCTTGAAATATTCGTGCTAATCCAGAGGTTGTGGGAAAAGTGAGAAATTAATTCAAAACCGCGTAGACACTTTACATTTTTAATTTAAATTTTTTTGTAGAAGCGTAATTTATAGTGAAACAATGAATGGCGACTCATACGTCAAATATCAAATGATTTTTTGAAAGAAAATGTTCAATTAAAATTAATAAAATGTTTTAGATGAATATTAAGTATTTATAGTGACTAGTAATAAATATATATTTAACTTCCCGTAGTTTATATTTTTGTGAAAAAATGCAATGCTTCGCGATTTGCTAATTTTATGTTTTCTCGACGTTTCAAGTCATTCTAAATCGAATGAGACAAAATTAGAAAAAAGCATGTGTGTGTGTGAGTGCGTATTAGAGCCGATTTTTGACCTTTCGCCGACGTTTTCCCAAAAACAGCAAGACCGATTTCAAAAGAGAGAATATTTAAAAATGTTTAAATAGCAAGAATATCGAATATGGCGCACCTCAAGAGACAATTCCAGGACCTTATATATTTATTATATATACAATCTGCATTAAATTAACAGGTAGAGATATGTAGTGTATGCAGATGACACTGTGATAATATATTGGATATAAAATTAATGATGATATAAAAAATTTAGACCAAAAAAATATGAAATGTGGGGTACCACAAGGAACAGTTTTAACACCACTATTAATTTGATTATATATAAACAATTCAAATGAAACTTTGTATAATAATAGATTTTGTACCCTGAAATAACATATTAAAATATTATAGGCTTACGAAAAGCGGTTTAATTAAAAAAATCATAAAAGCTTATAATTTCGCCGCGCGCTTGAACGATTCCAATCAGAATCTGTGCCGAAGCATATATATATATACATTTAGTAGATAGCTACTGATTACAGTTGACATCCACACTTAAACATAATGCATATTTAGAGCACAAAATTAATGGAATAAAACGTGTCAAACAAATTAATATAATGTATATAATTACAAATACTATAAGTATGTTTAAAAGACATCAATTGGAAATCGTATTGTTTATTTTTTAGTAAGATTAATCACGTGAGGCTTTTAGGGGAAGGGGGAGCTTGGCAAAAAATCACGAAATATCACGTAGGGGAAGAAGGTGTCTAGTAAAATAACACGTGTATTTATTTTTTAACTGAATTTAAAAAAGAAACAAAAATTTTACGATTTTTTTGTAACTAAAAATACACGTGATGTTTGATAGGGGAGGGGGTGGGGTTATTTTGAATATCACCACATATCACCAAAGGGGTGGGAAGTCCAAAAATCCCTAAAAAATCAATCACATGATTAATGGACGCCCCCTAATAACTAAAATCTTATTTTAGAAAAATAAACACTTGAATATTTTATCTAAATAGCTGAATTTAAGACAAAATGCTACTCACTACTAGTTATTCCTCTATCTATTTATTATTACCTGTGGATGAAGCTCCTGCTCTCCAAGTAACTCATTCCACTAGCAATCTGTGTTGCAATATACATCAACACGACTGCATTAATTTGTTCCTTATTTCCATTTCGTAGATAATCGAGTAAGTTTCCTCGACTCATGAATTCGGTTATAATATAAAAAGGTGGTTCTCTGGTGCACACACCAATCAGTTGCACTAGATTTGGGTGCTTCATTTCTTTCATTATCGATGCTTCTTCTAAAAAGTCTTTTAGAGCCATCGTATCTTCTTTTAAAGTCTTCACAGCAACCTGGGAGAAGAAGAAAATAATTGTAAATAGAAAAAATTGTAAATTGTATACATGTAAATGCAAATATATATATTTAACTTACTGTCATTGTGTATCTTTTCCAAACAGCTTCATAAACATCCCCATACTGTCCTCCTCCAAGTTTATGTTTCATTACAATAGCTGTCCTATTAATCTCCCATTCATCAGGCTCAGGGCTCAATGGAAAAACTGTAGGTTTATCATGTTTAGGTGCAGGATACAACAATTGGGTTATGAGACCATCAGCCAAAACTGAATGATGATGCACCAGTTCTGCCAAAGTGTTGAATTTAGAATCGACGGTTACGTAGACTTTACAATCGGTGGGGTCTTCGTTGATTCTGTAATGGTACACTCTGCCTTCGTATCGAAGAGATATGGAACGTTGGCCTGGACTGCTTTCAGATTCACGAACCTGGGTAAAGAATAAATAGACTTTGTGAATAAATAGAAGAAAATTTATAGAAATATATAAAGCAGGACAAAAACATTAATAATAACCTAAAGAATAAACAAACAGAGTCCAACTTGCTACAATTATAAAGAAATGTATAAAAAATTGTACTTTTTGCAAGTGTTTAAAATTAGCAACAATTAACTACTCTTTTGAAACTGTAGATAAACTTGGCGCAAATAAAAATAGATCAATCATGGTAACAAAAAAAGTGTATTAAAAGGCAATTAAAAAGATAATTCAGGAGTCCTTGACCGAAAACGAAAAACTAGATAAATATTAATATGGATAACATAATCAATTACGAATACAGATCTAGAAAAACAAGTTTTACAAATTATTTTTCCAGTGTAGATTCTAGAAAAACAAGTTTTACAAATTATTTTTCTGGTGTAAGTAAAAAAATTGAGACTTGAAGGTACTTCGCTTAAAAATAATCCAAAAATGAGAAAATATTTAAAATTGTTTATAGCAAGAATATCAAATATGGCGTAACTCAAGGGATAATTCCAAGACCTTTATATTTATTATATATAATTTTTTTTATTAAATTAACAAGTAGAGATATATAGTGTGCGCAGTTGAAACAGGCAAGATAGAATATTTAAAATTGTTTAAATAGCGGGAATATAGATAAGAAAGTATGAATAAATGGCAACGTTGGTGCTTAAACGATTAAAGTACGTGTACTATCTATATCTAGAGAAACTGTGCTTTAAAACAAACGCTGAATTTGAAACACACTAGCACCATCTGTGATATGCTAAAAACACTCATACATCTTGAGATGATTACAAATAAACAAGTTATCAAATTAATTAACTAACTAAAAACGTTGATTAGATATTGAAATAAAAGAAGAAAAAAATAATTATTATAAAATATTACAAAGATGTCATAAATTTGTAAATGACTAACCCTCTTGAATGCAACAATAATTCAACCTTCTGGAATTAAAAATAAAGAACTTGAATTAAAACCACTTAAATGTTTTGAACAACTTTCTGAATAAAGTCATGAAAAGATCATGATTTAATTTGATATAGAAGTAACAATAACTTTGATATCATGACTTCAGGACATGTTGTTTGTATCACAATGCTTTAAATGAGATATGGTATCTTAAAAATGTCTTTTTTACACGGGTATATTTTTATCACAAATAAAAATAAAACAATATTACAAGAGATGATGAACAAAGCAACCATAAATATAATTGTACATAAGATGTAGATCATCTCACTCCAAAACCCAAAAAGGGCAAGGGGATTTGTCCGGATAAACTAAAATCAATCACAGATTTAACTAAATTCAAAATTAAAGTAAATATAAATATTAGAGATAAATAAACTAATGTTATTTTTATGTAGAAAAATATTATTGTTATCAGTATAACAATGGTTAAATACATCAGAAAAGCAACTCCTATAAACCAATTGCAAAAATATCAACTACTATGATCTCTTACACCAGACTATGTGTCTAACACTATGCACATACATTTTAGCAAATAAAACAAATAATAACTAAAGTAAATTCTTTTCCATATCTATTTACCAGAAAGCTTCCATTGATTCCACTGCTAAGCAAATATTCAGCAGCATTCCTAGCAATGGGTCCATGGTACCACGAGTGTTTCTCTAAAGAATTCACAGGTGTCACATAATTACTCGGGACCCATCCAACTAATCCAGCACTCGAGTGAGCCTCACACCATTCGCCTGATTTGTTATAACTCAGTATACGGACTTGCTCCCCTAGAAAAAGAAAAAGGTAAATGATATACATAATGCACTTAGTAGCAAAATATTATTTATTGTGAAAAATATATTTATTCTATTATCACCTTTCTTTAAACTCAATTGATTCTCTCCACCAGCTTGAAAATCATATAAAGCTACAAAGAGTTGTGGATCATCCTCTTCGACTTGTGCCAGCAGATTTTCCTTGGAGGTCCATCGAATGTTTGCTGTATCGAGTGTATTCGAATTAGAATTGTTGCTACATGTGTTCGAAGCAGAGACTGCTGTTGTGCTATTCAGAGGAGCCATCATCAGGGGAGGGGTACCTGAGGAGACAAAAAAGAAGAATAAATATATTGGCCATTAGTGTGAATCAATTGGATAGATGACACTGTGATAGCAAGAGGTGAATAATTTCTATTATCCAGCAGGATTACAGTAGTGATTACAACATATAACTATTCATATTATCCTTTATCTTGCCTGGTGGTGCGACACCGTCCGCCCCAGCTCCTGCCCCGTTTTGCCCCTCGCTACCTCCAACGACCCCTGGTGAGCTGTTACTGTTGGCGCCTGCGGATACTCCAGTGCCCCCTGCAGATGTCGCTGAGGGGTCTCCGGATAATAAGTCTCCAGAAGTGGCGTCCGGAATGTGCGGCAGTGGACGGGATTGTAAAAGGGCTTCTGAAAAATAAAAAAATTGTGTGATTATATATTTGGGGTTATGAACTTCAAACAATAGGAAATTTGAGGTTATAAGACCTAAAGATTTTGACAAAAACAAACAAACATTCATTTAAGGGTCCATAATTTGGCTAATCTCGGTTAAGCTTGCTCTCTTATCTTACTACTTGCTTATCATAAGTCGAGATGATAGAAAAAAAACAAAACAGATGATTAAAGTAAGAGAAGAACCTACCTTAAATATATTATTATTATTATTATTGGAAAATATCGTTAATAATAATAAATACAAAATTATTTAAACATTTTAAATTGTTATATGGCAAACCAACTTATTTTGAAATGCTAAAAAACTACGAATATTTGAAAGTGCACACAAAATTTCTGGTAATAATGGAAAATAATTTAATTAAAATGGCTGTCCAACTAAAATGGCTGTCTAACAAAAGTGGCTGCCTAACAAAAATGGCTGCCTAACTAAAATGGCTGTTTAACTAAAATGGCCGTCTCACTAAATTGGCTGCCAAAAACGGACCCTATACCATCTTATCAATATGTTTTTTTGTTATTTAATGCAGATAAAAAATTGAGAAGCACAACTGTAACATCAAAATTCTTTCTTGAAGTATTTTATTTGTTTATTTAATTACTTTTCTTTCGTTTCGGTTTATTTTTCATGTATTTTATTATTACTTTATAATGATAAATATTATCATCATAATATATCGTTCATCATAAAAGAAACTATAACATAATATACATAATAAAAAGGGTCCGAAAATAACTAACTCAACAAAAATATTCGAAATGGCTAACAAAAAAGATGTTATATGAAAAAACAACTTTTTTTGAAATGATATATTTTAATGATGTATTTTACTTTATAATAATTATTATTATCATCATAATATATCGTTAATAATAAAAAAAACAATTTTTAATAACACAGTAGACACTAACTTCTTATCAATATTAATTATTTTATCTAATTTTAGCAATGCGGATAAAAGATTGAGCACCATATGGCGGCTTAACAAAGAACATTTGGTAAAGTACACAGTTTGTTTATTTAATTCATTTCCTTGTGTTTCAGTTTGTTATTTTAAGTGTATGTATGTTGGTGATAAAATTTGTTTTTCATGCATGTGCGTGTGTTGGTAATGAAATTTGTTTTTCTATGTATGTGTGTGTTGGTAATGAAATTTGTTTTTTTTATATGTGTATATGTTGGTAATAGAATTTATTTTTCTATGTGTGTATATATGTTGGTAATGGAATTTGATTTTTTTTATATGTGTATATGTTGGTAATAGATTTTGTTTTTCTATGTGTGCGTGAATGTTGGTAATGGAATTTGTTTTGTCATATGTGTGTATGTTGGTATTGGAATTTGTTTTTCGACGACATCCGTCATTCTTCCGGTAAAGTTGTCAACTGATTTCCGGTCGCCGAATAACGAAACAAAACGAAAGAAGGTCACGAAAGTACAATCGATATAAAAGGAAATCTAGAAATTGTGTTGTTAACTTCACAACGGAGAAGTTTATGTTTGCGCCAGAAAATTCGACTTGCTAATCTTATATTTTCTTGACGGTTCAAGTCATTATGAACGTTTTGAGACCAACAATTGTTCACGAAAGTACAATCGATATAGAAGGAAATCTAGAAATTGTGTTATTAACTTCACAACGTTTGCGCCAGAAAATCCGATTTGTTAATTTTATATTTTCTCGTCGTTTCAAGTCATTATGAACGGTTTGAGACCAATAATTGGAAAATATAGTTTGTAGGCCGAATTTTGACCCGTAAGAAATAGATATATAAATAAATAAATGAATAGAAGGTCACGTCCTACTTTTTCATTGAAAACTTTTGAATAAATGAAAGAAATGACATTTGATGCAAATTCAATTTTATCAAAACGTTGGATCACACGATGCTTTTTTGAATAGAGTCGTGATTTCAATTTTAACGTCAAAATATAAAGCAAGCATAGGATTCCAATTGAAAATAACCTATTTCGGGCACTGCGGAGCAAAATGGCAATAGAAAATCTTTCATATTTTTTAACCCTAAAAGTATAAAAAAGTTTACGGACCTCTGCCTTAGGATAATACTGCTCATTTTTATTTTATCATTATATTATATATAATGTTTGTGTGTGTATGCAGAGTTCAATTTTTCTCATGGGAAGTTTATTCGTCAGTAGAGTTTTATTTCTCTTTTCCAAATCTACAACCAAAATGCAGTTCTGACCATTCTTAAAGTGGTCTTTGTTTTCCCTCACAGTCCGTGTCTCTGATCCCTGTGGAGCATAATTTATTCTCCATTACAATTTGAAATTCCAACGGATCCACCAAGACAATAACTAATTAGTCGACAACAATTAAAACAATCGCCTCCATCGTTCATTATTATTATTATTATTAGTTTCTCTCTCGTCGAATGATTTCCTTTTCCGATGAACCATTTTCTTCTCTTCCGAACAACAATTACATTTGTTTAAAACACAATAACAAATTGTTTACAACAATAACAACAATTAACAAAGACATAGAAACGTATCATCATGAGAAGAGTATACTGAAATTTGATTCGAAAGAAAAAATTCTACGGACAAAGAAACTCAAATTAAAAAAAAAAAAAATTAGAAAAAAATAAATAGGAAATAAAATTATAACTTAAACAAACTTAATAGAATTGTACTGACGAGAAAAAAACCGTGAAAATCTAGGACAAAAAATCTAAATCCGGGACAAATATTGCATTTAGGAAAATCCGGGACACAAGGTGGAAATTCGGGTCAAGTATAGCTTTTAGAAAAACCCGGTACCAAAGGTGAAAATCCGGGACAAGTATTGATTTTATAAAAACTCGGGACACAAGTTAGAAATCTGGTACAAGTATTACTTCTCGAAAAACCCGGAACACAAGGTGGAAATCCGGGACAAGTATTGCTTTTAGAAAAACCCGGAACATAAGGTAGAAGTCCGGGACAAGTATTGCTTTAAGAAAAACTCGGGACACAAGGTGGAACCCGAGACAAGTATTGCTTTTAGAAAAACCCGGGACACACGGTGAAAATCCGAGACAAATATTGCCTTTAGAAAAACCCGAGACAAAATCCGGGACAAGAATTGCTTTTAGAAAAACCCGGAACACAAGTTGAAAATCGGGACAAGTATTGCTTTTAAAAAAACCCGGGACACAAGGTGAACTCCGAGACAAGTATTGCTTTTAGAAAACCCCGGGACACAAGGTGGAAATCCGGGACAAATATTGCTTTTGAAAAAACCTGGGACACAAGGTGGAAATCCGGAACAAGTATTGCTTTAGCAAAACCCGGACACAAGGTAAAAATCCAGGACAAGTATTGCTTTTAGAAAAACTCAGGACACAAGGTGAAAATCCGGGACAACTATTGCTTTTAGAAATCCCCGGGACACAAGGTGGAAATCCGGGAGAAGTATTGCTTTTAGAAAAACCTGGGGCATAAGGTAGAAATCCAGGACAAGTATTGCTTTTAGAAAAACCCGAAACGCAAGGTGAAAAATCGGGACGAATGGTCATCCCATTCAAAAAAAAAATCTCTACATAATTTAATTGAAATGCTTTCCTATTTGAAGAAAAGAATGAATTATCGCAAGATAATTTCTTATCTTGTGAATATTATTATTCGATAAAATAAACAATACGCAAATTGCTATCGAATATTTAATTATCGATTACCGATATCGTCAACAATGCGGAATAAACAATTTCTGATATTTTCCTTTTAGCAATTTCAATCAGTTACAAAACAATTGCGAAAATATTTTTGCGATAACTAAAACAAACAAAAAAATCGTATGATAATTCAATCCAATCAAAAATAAATTTCATGCAAAAGTTTGCGAATATTTATTATCACTTTAGGTTGTTCGACTTGAAAACTTAAGTTCGAAAAAGAAAGCTGCAAAATTTTATTTGAAATTTCCTTATTAATTTAGAAGAATGGCCATTTGTTTATCTCTAATAAAACATATTGCACTTTCTTCTTGCATTCTAAAACCTGCTGTTGACATTTCGAATGTCAAGTGAAGATCAGAAGATAGAGAAAGGAAGATGAGAAGAGATAAGGCGAACAATAGGAAGACAAGAAAGGAAGATAAGAAGAGATAGAGCACACAGTGAGTAGACAAGGAAAGGAAGCTGAGAAAGATAGAGCTACCAATGAGTAGACAAAGAAAGGAAGTTAAGGGGGGCGTACATTTAGGGGGAGGGGGGGTTTGACAAAAAATCACGAAATATCACGTGGGGGAGAGAGGGGTATAGTAAGATATCACGTGTATTTATCTTTTAACAGTTTTTTTTTTAAATCAAACATTTTCAAAAAAAATTATGTCATTCAAAAATTTTACAGTTTTTTCACATAACTAAATTTACACGTGATGTTTGGTGGGGGAGGGGGGTGGTAATTTTGATATCACCATGTATCACCAAGGGGGAGGTTCCAAAAATCCTTAAAAATCGCTCACGTTATTAATGGACGCCCCCTGAGAAGAGAGAGCAAACAATGAGTAGATAGGGAAGAAGATGAGAAGAGAAAATAGAGAAAGATCAAAAGAAGGAGAGGGGTAAGTCATAAA